ACCTTAGACTCACCACTTGACCACTTGCCAACCTTCTAGAAGGACTAAAGCTGGGCTTCTGGACTCTACTTGGACTCCTACCCTACAGGTCTACAGTTCGAATCTTCCTACAGCCTACAACCTACGGTGACCTAATTACCACTGGCTATCGTGCAGGTCACGGGTTCAACTCCAGGGAACTGTACAGATACTGTACACAGGTAAGCTGAGGTCAAGGGATCGACCCCTGGGATCTGCATCGGCTACTGCCAAAGGTGAAAACTGTTTCAGAAAGGTGCTTGTTTTTAATATCTGTCTTTGTGTTTTGGAAGAAGACAAATAACTTTCAGTAACTTCAAAATTTTAACTAAGAGGCTTGCCACACAGGCTGTCGAATGTCGAAAATTTTCGACTGGTGTCAGAAAATTTTCGACAGTCGAGAGGTCAACAATTTCCCCCCCCTTCGCCACATAGGCTGTCGAGGGGCAAGGTTTTTGGTCATGGCCAGGCGGACGGGTTTAACGGAAGTTGACGGAACAGTCTCTGACAACGCAAATTCGAATGCAATTTTCGAAAGGTCGGCGGGCCACTGTCGAATTTCCGTCACCTGCAGGCTGGTGGAAACGGTTGCTGGAGGGCGGCTGTCGAAAGGACCATTCTGACACTTGTCGAAAGTTTTTTGAGCCGCAATTCTTCGAAAAGTCTGTGTGGCGCTGCAAAATTGTCGAAAACCTGGTTTTCGACAGCTTGTGCGGCGAGCCTCTAAAACGGCCAAACCCCTTCGTTGCTATCCTTCTTTCGCATGCGGATTTGATTTCATCCCAAATTCTCATTTCCAGTTTCATAATTTTGGCCGTCTTTTTTTTTTTTCTGTGCAGACTTTCGACTGGAGCTTATTCTACAATCGCTTTCATACAGCAGGGTAAATATCAGCTCTCGCTTGCATTTTATTTTATTTTTATGTAACTGACAGTAACTCTTAAATTAATTTTTTTTAGGAGGTTTGTAATTGTTTCAAGTCATTCTTTTGCCATTTGTTTTGTCACTTTTGTTTTGTTTGCATTTCAAGGGATAGTGCAAAATAAACTGGAGAACTTAGTCTTTTGCCTCAGGGTCGGATCAAAATTCTTTTTTTTTTTTTTTTTTAAGATTGTTTTTGGCCCGGCCGGGCAAGTGGTCCCAAGTTACTCTGGTAAGATAGTGGGCGATGCTTGTTCAAAAAGACAAACAAAGGTTATGGGTTCTGCAATGGGCCCAAAAATAAAATTATAAAAGGTGCATGGTCATTATAGCTGCATCTGGACTGAAAATTGCCCTGAATACAGCTATAATGAATGGGCATTCTATTTGGGTGAAGATGGTAGGATTGAGGCTGGATTTGTCAATCTGATGAATTCATGTGGTTGGGGATTACCGTCGCTTCGGTTGAAGACAGCAGCATTGTTTCTTGAATCTGATGGAGGTGGGATGCATCTGGCTGTGATTCCAATTTATAGGGCAGGTACGGAATTGTTTTGCCCCCTACCAATAGAGAGTATATATTACCTGGGGCATAGATCAGTTGGTACACGCATCAACTGTTGAAATGCAGACCCGAGTTCAAATCCAGACATAACTGGATGAACAGGATTAGCTGGGGGTCAGTTGAGTGATGATATCTCATAGCCATCGCCCTTCTTTGTCTTTTTCAATTGTTTTCGCTGCCACTGTTTTGTAAATCTGATGGCTTGTTAAGGAATGCAATGCTCGGTTGTTTTCGCAAAAAGTAAAAAAAAATAAACACCTGATGGCTGTGATTGGTGTTTACCAAGTGGTGATGACAGGCTTCTGCAGGAGGGACGGACTTCGTCAAGTCGCTAGCTCGTCTGGAAATCAGTGGCCTGTTTTTCAGGTGGGGAATCCTCAGCATCTTGTTTGGCTGAGCTCAAGTCAGATTGCATTATGTGGGCTGACCGTGGGGAGGCGCTTTTGTGTGCATTTGGATGTGTGTTTCGTGGATGGAGATCATAGGGAGGTGGCTTCGTGTACATTGGATGTTTGTGCTTCATGAAGGTAGATCTTGTGGAGGTGGTTTTGTGTGCACTGGATGCATATGCCTTAGGAAGGGAGATTGTCACAGTCTGGTTGTTATGTTTGTTCATGACTTCTTCCCCCCC